AAAAAAGCCAGCCGCCGCCCAATAATTACTGAATCTTATTATAAATACAACAACACCCGCCGCGTATGCCGCAATGAAGAGCAAATACAATGCCACACGAATAAAAAGACACTTCTTTTCCGAAATAGCCATCTTTTTTAAAGCTTCCTTTTTTTTTCTCCTTATATTTTTATCGATGGACCTTTTGTTTCTTGTATATATATATATATATATATTTTCTCTGTGTGCTATTGCTTCTCGTTCCTTCGCTTTCACTGAGAAAAAGCCATAACAACAACAACAACAAGTTAACACGCAGACATATACGTAAATAAGACTGCAAAGAAGGAAACGGGAATAACTTAAGAAAAAAACAAACAAATTTGTACCCGCGAGAGACGGGACTGCCGCACCATCGGCCCATCCTAAGCATGTAGGACGTTTAGCGGTAATTGAGGTGTACGGTGGCGACATCCCCGTCAAAAAAAGACACAAGGTATATGAGGGTGACCCTCACTCTTGCCCTCGTCTCGTGGAAAAAAAAAAGAGCAACAACGACAGCGAGAGCTTCATCAGGCACCGCAAACTCAATCGATCTGTCTTTTTGGTGGAGCTCGAGCGGCCGCGGCCAAAACGTTTACGTGATTGTACGGGCAATGCCGACATCTGTTTCCACAACAGATGCCACGCTTTATGTGGAAGTGTCGTGTCAGCACTATCTGGCCGGTGTTCGGGTCGACGTACTTGTCCTTCCCCGCATCATGTGCCTTTTGGTGCATCTCCTCGACTTCGCGCGGGAGGCTTCTCTCCAACTCGTTTTTCTCCTCAACCACCACATTTTCCGGGGAACGAATAGCTGCCAGCCTCCGCAGACGCTCCTGAAGGATCGTGGAGGTAAAACGACGAGACTCGACGAAAGCACCTCCGTATTGGGAGAAGGGCTGGAGGACACAAAAACATCGACGGGCAGACATGACATGTGCGGTCCCCTTTCCAGGTCACAAAGACAAAAGAAGGAGCAGAACACAAAGAGACGGGAAATAAAAGGACACACACACACACACAAAAAAAAAAAAAAAAAGGAAAGAAAGAAAGCAACGCAATAATAATAAAAATAATAGTAAAACAAACGAACAATAAAATAAACTCGACCCATGAAACCTGGAAAAAACAAAAACAAGCGCTAAAGAACGTCGGCAAACGACTCCCAAGCAAGTCAGGGATGGCGTCAAAATCTTTTGTAGTCCGCGAAAAAAAGACGTTTTCCTGTGAATACGCTCCGGTATGTTCATCAATTTTTATTCTCCTTGACATATGGACAAAGTTTTCCTAAATAAATACAAACCACATTGCCATTTCCCCAACTCCCAGAAATAACCAAATTTTTTTTTTTTTTTTTTTTTTTTGAAGAAAGAGAGTGAGGGAGAGAGAGAAGGTGTATAATTTTTTAAACCTTTTTTGCCAACAAGAGCGAGACGTCGGACCTTCACCATCAACACCTCTCCCGTTACAGAGAAGCTTG